AAGTGAATAAGAACTGGCAGCGAAAGCTTCGAAAAAAAAAATTACCCGACGCCCTAAAACGCTACGGAACAGTCGAGAATAAACTTCCGTGATTATCATGTATAAATCAGAGGAACACGGAAGTTAAAGGACTTTTGTGACTCATTCTGGGATTAAAATGCAGTAGTAATGTCAATGCCACCCAGAAATTAAAAATTAATCTAGAAAAATTAATCACAGACTATTTACAGGGTTTGAAAATAAGCAACTGACGAAATTCATAATCAGGAGCCAAGTTTATGTTTCGTTGCAAAGATCACTCAGTTTTTTAAACCATAGCAAAAAATCAAAGAAATTCAAAAATAGCAAGATTTAATACGCAGCAGTTCTGACGTAAAACAATTTCTACAGTAATTATTTTTAATCATCTCGTTATAACAAATTATTCAGTAATACAGAAGAATCTTTTTCTGTGGTCCGAAAAAGTTTGTTATAACGAGATATTACCGTAACAGGAAAAACGGGGTTGACATCGCGTGAAACGGAAAAATTAAAAAAAAAAAAAAGTAACGGCCGTCTGGATGAAATCTCACTTGAAATTCCGATTCTCGTAGAAACGGATGGCAGAACTGTTAGAAGTCAGAACATGCAAAAAAAGCGCTTTGCAGTGCACAGCTTCGGGTGTCGTGAGTTGGCGAATCAACGAATCCAACAAGAGCGACGCAATCCCGACCCTTCGGTATTCTTGAACCACACCCAGACTGAGAATGTACGCCACTGTCGAGACCGGGCGGAAGTAGACGGCCAGCACGTCTTGATCCTCCTGCGATGCGATCATCAGCCACAAACGTTTGAAAAAAGAGTAAACAAATTACTTCAAGGGACCAGCAAGAAAATTCGAGTTGGGGAAACGAACATTTTTGTTTGGGAAAAGAAATACTATAATTGCAGGAAATCGTAATTGGCGATATTCTGGGCCTCAAGTCGCTTCTTGAATGAGTTGACATGATGCTGAACTTGGAGGCAATGGTTCATTTGCCCAATTCGTTTTTCACTTCTTTTCAAAAACACATCAAGTTACATTTTCATCGCTTTACTCTTTTCTTTGTAAACAAAATAAGATCCAAGAGGCCGCGCCAGAAAATTCGA